CAGGTGCGAACTTGTGGAGTCGGCCACCAACACCCCCTAGGTCACGCAGCATCATCGCAGTGTCACCATGGGAGAAGGCAAAGGGGAGCTACCAGTTCAAAACATCGTCGACATCCACATCCAATGCCCAGAAGCGATTGGTGGGAGAACGCACCGAAGAACAAAGAGAGAGGGAGGGGCGGAGAGGGTGGAAGGAACTGGGGAATAAGGGGAGGAGGACGAGCCACATGGAGATCCCAGAGCAGGGAGGCAGGGCAGACAACAGAAGGGCAGGGGCGACGAGGTCATCGGAGAAGGGAAAGAGAGGGGCGTCGGGCGAGGGGGAGCAAGATAGGGAACCATCTTCACACATCGCAACTCCACGCTCGACCTCTCTCCTCTATCTCTCACATCTTCTTATTCTTATTCGCTCTCCCCCCCCCCCTATTTCTGCTCTCTCACAACCACTCTCTCTACTGCTCACATGCTGAGAGGGGATGGCGCATTCTCTCTCCTTCCATTTCACCTATGTTCTTTCTCACACACACAACCTAGTCCCATTTCGGCTTTGCTCTCCCTGACACACACATCCTAGTCCCATTTCATCTCCTCTCTCTCTCTCTCTAATTTTCTTGTTCTTCTCTTTCTCTCTCTCCTTCCCATGGCTGCTCTCTCACAGCCTCTTTCTCTGTTGCACACACGCCATGAAGCAGGAATCCTGCATGGAGAATGTGCTTGTGTTCTGTGGGGCAGCTCATCACGTGAGAATAGTGACAGAAGATGATGCCAAAGAGGGGCTTGGTAAACACCTGGTAATGACGCAAGAGCGGTCAGACGTGGGCTGCGCTCCCAGCTGCAACGATGGTCAGACGTGAGTGCGTCGACGACTCCAAGCTCCGCCTTTTCTGTTTTACATTTGTTAGCTTGCTCTTGTTTGCTGCCCTATAAGTTGTTTCCTCGGCACTTTGTATCTCTCTATGGCCGTTTGGAAAATTAGTAATTTAAAGTCGGGCTCAATGAGCCTATTGTCTAAAAATATTTGTATGCATCACATCAAATTCCCGGGGTGAATATATGAATGAGTGCATACATTAGAAATTTGGTTCACTAATTTCCCGCTGACTCCTATATTACACTGCTTATTACCCGCAATCAATAACCATACCACTCCCCTAATAAATAATGGTGAATTTACATATGTAATAAAGGCTGAAATGATAGGCATACCTCATAAAAAATTCGTGTAGTTCATCCTTGGTCAGTGGATAGCCATTAGAAAATGTCACGAACAAAGTTCTCTCATCAGGTGGAACATCAGATAGGTCTTGCGTGATCTGCAGAGAAATATATTATTATTTTCTCTTCAAGCTATGAACTAAACTAGATATTTGCAAAGAATGATCAGGGACGATGACTTACTGCATCATTATGGTTCTCTCTTAAGCTCAATTTATCCAGCAACGTGACCAAACCGGAGGTTGGCTCATAATCATATACTTCGTCCTCTGTATCATGGTGGAGCATACGACTTGTTTGAGGATGGATATTTCTTGAATTCGAACCTTCTCCATGACGCATTTGACTTGTTTGAACACAGATATTTCTAGAACTTGTGCCTTCTCCATGATGTTTCGGATTATTAGCATACAAAGCCTTGATCTTGGTAAGAAGGTGTTTCTGCATATAGATGATATGGTGAATCAGAAGGAGGAGAAAATACTAAACAAACTATTAACAGATCTTTCATTAATCTCACCGAGCTATTAGGAATTTGTTCATGCGATGATTCTCCATAGGCCTCTTGGTACAGATCTGTCATCTGCATAGATGATAAAGAAAATCCCAAAAGGGTGAAACCTTGTACTAGTAACAGATCTGATCTTGAATAACTAAATATGAACTCTAGTC